CCCAGATTATAAGTAAGTAAGTAAGAATATATTAAACCGATGCTTAGATGGGCAAAGGAAGAAACCCTAGCGGTCGAGTAAATAGCTATAAGTGTGAAAGGAGGTATGTATGTTTTAAAACTTGAAGTTGAAACTGATATAAATTTGTGATCAAGCACAATAAAAATATTGTAGTCACATGGAAAACAAGTTAAAAACATGCCTCTGTACACTAGAATGGCAATTGAGGAAGTAAGGATTGTGCTGCAATGGTAGAGGAAGCTACCTGTGCTAGTATAGGTGTACAGTATGATTGGTGGAGGTTAGTCACATGATCAGTACATGTTGCTGCAATTGCATAAAAATGAAGAGGTATAAAAGACTGGTGTGCTGTTGAAAATTTTAGCAATGCTTAGAAGACACATTAAGGTCGAGATAGCTTTGGGTTAGAGGAAGTAGTACCGTTTTGGAATTGGTTTCATTACAACATAACCTTTCAAGATCTATACCTTGCAAGCTCAATAATTATCTTATGTTTTTATATACAAGGTCATATTTAAAGGTTTTTAGTTCGCAATCTATTTACCATGTCATGATTGAATGTATTTAAATCTTGGGTATGGTGTTGCTGGATTTCATAAAGGTGGTTCTTCAGTAATTCCAATTTTCTGTTACATCGTTGATTTTCTTCCCACAGAAGTCTGTTTTGCTCTTCCCTCTAAAAATACAATGCACATGCAAACACACTTTGGTAAAACATATAATGATACATATAAACATTAAACTGATTAAATATATACATATTATGAAATTACCCCTAGAACACAAACTAGCTTTCTCTGAATACTACCTAGCTTCATCAAGTTATCATTTATGTTATTATGATAAAAAGTTATATCTAGGTTTTTCAATGAGTAATACAAAATTTATTGATCTATAGTATTAAATAAGTATTGAAGTAAGGCTCAGTTGAAAACAGACATTTTATAAAAGCAAAATATTTTCTGAATTTGAAGGCTTCACTAATAGGCCAATCCACAAAGTTTAGGAAATTTACTATTCTATCATTTTATAAGCATTTCTTGTCATTTTGAGTGTCAAAGGTGACTATAGGAAGGGCAAAAGTGATTGTTTGTTTATTTGCGTTTTGAATTTTGAGCAAAGCTATATGAGGGCTATCTGCACTAGCTGTCCCTAATTTAGCAATGAAAGACTAGAAGGAAGACAGTTAGTCATCACCACCCACCATCAACTCTTGGGCTACTCTTTTACTGACAAAATTAATGTAGTGTTTGTCTGAATGATGGTCTGGTGGTTAGTTATTAATTTAATGTGTGACATCATCTCTAAATGATGTCCTGATGCTTACTTATTGATATACTGTGTGACATCATTTCTGAATGATGGCTTGGTGCATACTCAATAATAAAGTGTTTATATCATCTCTGAATGATGGCCTGGCTCTTACTTCTTTTAAATACAATGTGTGATATTATCTATGGTATTAGGTGTTGCTAGCTGTGAAGAAGATGCTGCTGATTTACAAAAAGATTTAGATCATATAGTGAGTTTGGCAAATAAATGCCAGATAGGTTTTAATTATAATAAATGCAAGATAATGCATGTGGTTATCATAATTTGGATGGGTTTGTTTGTAATTAAGTACAAAGCTACACAATGGACTATCTGTGCTCTGCCCACCACAGATATAGAATCCTGGATTCTAACATTGTAAGACCGCAGATATACCACTGTGGTACTGGGGGGCATTTTGATGGGAATAACCTTAATAGTGTCATGAAGGAAAGGGATCTTGGTGTAATAGATGATCAGTCTCAAAAGTCATTCAAGCAGTGTGCTGTTGCTAGTGGTAAGGCAAAAAGGTTATAATTTCATTGTACAGGTCATTTGTAAGACCACATTTAGAATATTGTGTTCAATATTGAGCTCCTTACCTTAGGAAAGACACTGAATTGTTGGAAAGGGTTCAAAGAGGGGTTACTAGAATGGTGCCTGGGATGGAGGGGTTGTCATATGAGGAGAGGCTGAAATCTCTCAAATTATTTTCTCTTGAACAAACAAGAGTTAGGGGGGATCTTATTGAGGTGTCTAAGATTGTAAAGGGAATTGTTAGTGTTGATGCCTCATCTTTTTTCATATTTAACTGTGAGAATAGTAGGACTAGGGGACACAGATAAAAAGAC